GCATGCATTGTGAAGCCCATCATCACAGGTCAATCAAATGGACCCCTTTTGGCCAACAGAAGAGGGGCTGTTTAGTGTTAGGGGGATTCATGTGTGTGGGACTAAAGCTGGAGAGATTTTGGCTGTTGAATAGAGAGGACTTCCTTGGGAAGTGGTTGACTGTAGGAAACTTGATAAATAGAAGAACAAAGATTTGAGCTTCGGTTTGGGCTTCTAGGGGCTGTATATATGGAAGACTGTATATATATGTGGCAAATAGAATTTTGGTTTGGATGTATGGAATCTGTGGTGTCAGTGGGTTATGATTCTCAGATCGAATGTAGTTTATGAAACTGTCAGGGTCTTCACGCAGACTTGAGGGTGACCTTAGGGATGCCAGAAAAGGAGCAGATGAGGAACCTTGGTGAGAATTAGGGGTGTGGAGCACACACTTGGATGCACTGGAACAGGATGAGGATGAGGATGAGCAGGAAGCAGAGGGAGGAGGGTACTTTGCAGAACCCTTCGTCTTCCAAACGAAGAGAGCACGTGTGAGGGGTTTGTGCTGCAGAGAGGAGCTGGGACACGTGGACAGAGGTATCACAGTGACAGTGCTGGGTTCCATTTGCCAGAGCCACCCTACTGTCTATTCAGAGGATGCCTTTTACTGTAAATAAACTGTAACTGCAGAAACTGGACTTAAGGCAGTCTTCATAGCAGCGTAGTTCATAATAGCAACAAGATAGAAACAACCCAGTCACCCATGAGCAGCATAATGGAGAAATAAATTATGTTCTGCTCACACAGTGGGATCCTAGTCAGTGAAAAAAAAAAAACCAAAAAACAGAAAAACATAGAAATCAGAAGTGCACACAGTCACACAGATCAGTCTTACAGGTTATTGAGAGAAAGAAGCAAAACTAAAAAATCCCAGGATGGCTAAATTAAGATAAAGCTCAAAAACATGCAAAATTGAAACTTATTGTATTTAGGGTTATATACATAAGAGATAAAACTGATTTTAGGAAAGTCAGGACAGCATTTAGTTCTGCGATGGAAAAATTAAGTGTTTATACTTATTTACCTACTTATTTATATTTTGTACAGTTTGGGGGTGTGTATTATATTGTCTAATAGGAGAAAGTTCTAAAAACACACCAGGAAACACTAATATATATCAGTAGCTTATGTGCAGGTGTAATTACACTCTTACACTCCTCAAACTTGTCACCACAGTCTCCACAACAGGATTGTACAGCAGGTACTCCTATCATCCTGTGCATATGAAACCAAGGCACAGAGATGTTAAGTAGTTTGCCCAGAGTCACACAGCCAGAGAGTAGTACCGCTGGAACTTGAACCGAGGTGGTGTGGTTGCAGAGCCCTGCTCTTAAGATTGAGAAGATGATTTTGCATGTGGCCTTCTTGGGGTCCCAGGTGATCTTGGAGGACAGATCAGCTGAGTGGCTGGAGGTCAAAGCCACACTGGCAGAAATGGAGATGAAGGAAAATAAGGCAGCAGTCTGGGAGACTGAGGTAGGAGGACCGCAGGTTTGACCCCAGCTGGGGAAACTGATTTAGTGAGACCCTGTCTCACAATAAAAGAGTTTTTAAAAGGATGGGGATATAGTTCAGTGTGAAGGCCAATCCCCAATACTGCCAAAAAGAAGAAAGACAAAAAAAAAAAAAAAGAAAAAAGAAAAGCACACACGAGGTGACAAACGGCATCTTCTGCATCTTGCTATGCCCAGATGGTGCTCACAAAGCCCTTTAACTCGCTATTTTATCAAATTCTGTTCATGTCGACAGGAGGTAGGTTTTTAGCATCCCCATTAAAAAGATCTGGACAGCTCCCGTGGCTGGCCCAAGCGCAGAGCTAGGATACTATTCGGACCCAGAGCTCTGAGCTTACGCTTGTAAAACTTGAATTCTTACAACTTTGTGTCAGTGTTGTGACCTCGAGCTCCCTGGCAGCCGAGCCCCTGTCGTTTAGGAGTGACCCAGCTGTGCATTCAGTGAGATGCCAGGTGCATTATCCCCACTTGGAAGGTGGGTACAGGCAGGATGTTGCAGTGCAGTGCCTGCCAGGACTGGCTTGAGTGTCTGGGAAGCAAGAGCTGCCGATCTTGGAGTCATTGCCTTAGGTCAGTGATTAGCAACCTGCAACCCCAGCTCCCTGGGTCGTAGTCTTCTTGCGTCCCTGGCTGCTGTTTTAGGCTCCCTTCTCTGGCTTGGAAGAGGGATGGGGCTGCAGCGGTCTCACACGTGCCCTCCACTTCGTGCGTGGGCCAAGGCTGTGCTCTCTTTTCTCTGCTTCCTGTGCCAGAATGGGATCTTGATGGGCCTTTTCTAAGACAGCACTGACTGCCCTCCAAGTTTAGGGGAGTCACTGGACAGCATAGGGTATAAGTGAGAGGTTGTAATCACTTGCTCAAATACATAATAATTGGTGGAAAAGAAGGCATCATTTAACATCAAATCTTAGCAACAGCTATATTTGTGTAAGGAACACAGAGAAGGCTTGGGAGAAATGCACTACAATTCCAACCGTGGATTATAGGTGTTTGATCTCCGCTTTTCCCTTTTTAATCTTTTTTTCTCTTGTAACAACCACTTCTAAGATTGCCCTTCAGGACCTGTAGACATGGGACTTTTCTCTGAGGAAGGACAATGTCCATTGCAGAGTTTTCAGTTGGGGTGTGACATAGTTTTTTTTCTTTTAACTGAAGTAAAATTCACTTAACACACAATTAATCTTTTGTCCCGGCACTCTGGAAGACTGCGGCAGGAGGACTGCATGTTTGAGCCCTACCTGGGCAACATAGCAATTTAGTAAGAGATCCTGTCTCAAAATTAAAAATGAAAGATTTAATAAAGGACTAGAGATAGCTCAGTGGCAAGGTCCTAGGTTCCATCCCTGATACTGAGACTTACTTCAAATTGAGGGCTCAAAGAGCCTATGAAATTTATCTTTAAAGACTGAAAAAACCCCACTCTGTTCTTTAAACCTTTAGGAGGAATGTCTTTTGATTTTAGATGGGAATGGTTGTACTTCCCCTGAAAAGGTGGCTTAATTTATCGTGAGGACACTGAGAGGACTTTCTTGTTTTGTGCTAGCTGTGATGTTTTTTGCCAAATTTGAGACCCACATCTTATGTGGAAGATTGGAATAAGGAGGCCGTAACTCATCCAGTCCTCATCTTTTTAATTTTTCCTTTTTTTGAGACCGGGTATGCCTGTGTAGTGCAGACTGGTCTTGAACTCGCTTATGTAACCCAGGCTGGTCTCAAACTCACAGCAGTCCTCCTGCCTCAGCCTTCCGAGTGTTGGAATTACAGGAGTGTGCCACCATGCTTGGTTTTTTTTTTTTTTTTTTTTTCTCTTCGCTTAATTTTGAACTCTGGGTGGTTGGATTAGGGGAGACATAGCATAGAACTGTCCTCTGATTGCCTGTCTAATCTTTTTTTTTCTTTTGGTGGTGCTGGGGATCGAACCCAGTGCCTTGTGCATGCAAGGCAAGCACTCTACCACTGAGCCACATGCCCAGCCCCCTCCTGTCTAATCCTAATAGTTTCAGAGATGCTGGGTTTTGGTCTGAGCCCTCCTCACCTACCTGCCGTTCCCTACCCAGATTTAGGACCTGTGAATTTAATCCCTGCCCTGAGCTTTGTGTGCACTCTGCATTTCCCCTTCCCTTCCAGCATGGGAAGCAAGCAGTCCAGAAATAGGGCAGCATGGCAGCATGCCCCGCGTAATTAAGGATGATTTATTTCCCTGTTAAAGACACCAGGCTGTGTGAGGTTTTACTTTGAGTCCATTCAGATCTCTGAGCTGAGGCTTGTAAACAGATGCCCAGTGATTAGTGCCGCGTGGAGTCACCTCTCTAGCCCTGACCTGCACGGTGTAAGGAGAACCAGGGAGTGGCCAAGGCACGTTATGTGGGGACTCTGGATCCCCTTTTTCTGAACGCTTTGTTAGCTGGGTGTGGGATGCACACCTGTAATCGCAACATCCTGGAGGCAGAGGCAGGAGGATTGCTATGAGTTCAAGACCAGGACTATATAGTGAGTGCAAGGCCAGCCTGCGCTATAGCAAGATCCTATCTCAAACAAAACAAAACAAAACAAAACATCCAAATAAATAAATAAATACCATTGTCGCCTGTGCTTTGAGACTGAGAGAGTGGGATGTTAGAGCAAGGAGGAGGGTGCCCGGGGCCAGGCCACTTGCGGTCTTCTCCCCACTGCTAGCTACTGATCCATAGCTCCTGAAACCTCCTCACAGCCCGTCTCTTTGTGGCCCTACCAGAGCCACAGGTGTGCTAGCTGGCTTATTCATCTCTGTGTTTTTCAAAGTGTCAATTGCATTTTCTCCCTTTTTAGAGTTGTTAAAATCACTAGTCCAAAAAACCAGAAATCCAAAAATGTTCCACAAGCTGAACATTGTCATGCACCAGCGTGATGTCGCAAGTAGAAAATTCCACACCATGAAACTTAGTTTCGTGTACAAAGTATTGGGAGTATTGTATCAAATTACCTTCAGGCTGTTTGCATATGATATGTGTTAAACATAAATGAATTTCATGTTTAGACTTGTTTAGGGTCCCCAAGATATATCTTGTTACATGTATGCAAATATTTGAAAATCTGAAAAAAATCCAAAGTCTAAAACACTTTTTGCAAGCATTTTGGATAGTCAACCTATATATACTGAAATTATGTGTTGCACCCCAATGTACATTTGAGGGAGCGTGGGTCTGCTCTGGTTGATGCCAGGGTGGGTGTCCAGAGACCCTCTTTGCTGCCTTCTCCACTCCAGGGTACACAGGCTGTGCCTCCTTCCCAAGTTTAACACCTCAAAAACTCGATAGGTGTCCTTATTTCCAGTTTTTTAAAATGGGGGATTCTTAGAGACCGTGGGGTTTTAGTGCCTTAGAATTCATCACTGCTTTCTTTTCTCTTTGATACATAGGTCCAAAATATTAATAGTTCCTCAGGACTCTGTTGTGGTCTGTATTTCAGGGCCCAGTGGTTGCAGCCTGGCTGTGTTGCAGCCGGTCCTTGGTAATAAGGAAGACGCGCAGCCTACAGAAAGTGTTCACAGTTGGCTTGCTCCCTCAGTGACTCTGCCTTTCCTGACTGGCACGCAGGAGTGTCTGCTGAGCTCCTTTAGAAACACAGGCACACGGAAAACTTGGCCTCTGTGTCCCAGAAGCTTACAAGCTCTTTGCTGAGCTAGGACAAAGCACATCCCATCCTCCAGAGTAAGACCTCCCATGATAAATGCTGTTGTGAATTATCCTCAGAAGAAAATCCTGATGCAGTTCTTCATCAGTTATCTTATCTTCAGGAAGGGGAATTGATGCACTGGGCTGTGCGAGGCAGGCTGCGTTGACCTCACTCTGAAACCTGGCCAGTGGGCAATCCCTTTACTTTCACTCCCTCTCTGATAATCTTTAGGTTTTCCCCTGCGCATACCTGAGGTTGTTTTGTTGTTTTTGGTTGTTCATTTTATTAATTCCTGAGTTACTGATTGGTAGCACAGGTTTTGCCTTTCCTTGGAAGGGAAAAAAAATACTATTTCATGTAAGCTCTGGATTTCATGGACTCTTACAGTATCTGATCTGCCAATGTCCAATAAAAGTCTTTTGAGAAATTGACAGAATCATTCAGTAATGTAGGAGGCTTCCAGGTTGGTCTGCTGGGACCGCACAGCGTCTGGACCTCTTTCTCTTGGAGGGAACACTGGATGCTTTGGCATCTGCACCGTGGCTCTTACGGCCCCTACTTTGGCTCTCTTCTGAGTCCTTAACTACCCAGAATGCACTTGTAGCAGATGGCTCTGTAGGGAGTCTGGCTAGGACTCCTTTGCTCTATCTACTTCGGTGATGTGTGACTGGGCCTAAGTGAGTCTGAGATTGTACCGAGCCCACACCAGGACCTGTGGATTATTCTTCCAGCAGGAGTATTTCTTCCACACGCCACTCTTCAGGATTTATTAACAAGCTTTTGTCTGAGCAGTTCCCCGTGATTTTAACAACTTGTGCATTCCAAGTTTATTCCCTTTTCGTGTCATGTTTAAATTCTCTATCCTACCCCAACTCTGTTACCATTCCCTCTCCTATGCAGAGAGCCCAGACGACCCAGTCCCCATACAGCAGACTCATACTGGTGACCGTGCCAGGGGTTGGGACTGCCTTTTGAAAAGGAAGGCGGTCTACCCTGATGCTCAGAGCCTCAGAGGAATGCACTTAGACCCCATTTGTCTCCCAGATACAATCAGCGCTGGAATGCACACATTCTAGGCTGATGAGCTAATGAGTTTGGATGGGCTAGTGCAATGCCAAACCTGTGAGTCACACCATTACAGGTATGGACGACATAGAGCATACTTTGTTGCCATGGGAACCTGAACATTTATTCATCTCAAAGCAGAAAGAATTCACTTCCACCTCTCTGGGATGAGGCTGTTTCCCACACTGTTCATGTGTTCTCCCAAAAGCTGGTCCTCTGCCTCTCCCTGCATTGACACTGTCCCCTGGGAGGGTGTCCTGGTGTGTGTTGTTGACAGCACCTGCCCTGCCTTTGGTAGCCAATGTTGAAATGTGCCTTGATGCCTAATTTGAAGTTACAATGTCAGGATATTTTCTGGAGGTGAGGCAGTGTGATATAACCCGAGCTAAGCTTTTAAAGTTAGGTTTGACTCAAGTTCTGGCTCTGTCACTTAGGAGTTTTACGACCTTGGGAAAATGTATTTCTGCTTCAGCTTCTATGTCCTTGTGGGTGAATCAAGGTAATCCCTACTTTACTAGGCTATTGGAAAGATGCAGTTAAAGTGTGTCCAAGTGCTTGGCACTTCACTGAGTAAGTGGATGTGTTCTTTCATTCTGTCTCCCTGCAGCCCCGGGGATTAAGGTGCGGAAGGAAGTCCAGGATCCTGAGGAGTTAGCCAGCTGGCTGACCTTCCTGGGGATCGTTGTCTGTAATTCAGAACACTGGGCTGGGGGTCCTGTGTACCCCAGGCTGGTTGGATGATGTGTCATGCAGAGTTCTTCAATTGCAAACCTGAAAAACTGATTGTGGGTGATATAAGTAAAGTGGAATTTATCGCAGAGATACTGAGAGCTCCCAGAATGGGTAGGAGGCTGGGGAAACCTCTTCAGAACAGATAGGAATCAGGCCAGGTATGATGGCACACACCTGTAATCTCACACTCTTGGGCAGCTGGAGCAGGAGGATCCCAAGATGGAGCCCAGCCTCAGCAGCTTAGCTACTTAGTGAGACCCTGTCTCAAAATAAAAGGGTGGGTGGGTGGAAGGCTGAGTATGTAGCTCAGTATTGAGACCCTGCATTCAGTCCTCTCTGCTGTTAAAAAAAAAAAAAAAAGTAGAAATCAGGTACTTGGCTGTATGAAGCCAGGAAGTGGGAATCAGGTGAACAGTGTCACAGTAAAAACAGCACACTCAGGTTGGTGGTTGGATGGATGAACTCCAGGAGTGTCTTTGCTTCTTTGGCCCATGGTTCAAACTGTCTACACAGCACATCTGGAGGCGAGCATAGGTCAAATACCTGCACCCCAGGGAAGAGGGGGAACCCCAAGGACCCCTTTGGTTTTGCCATGGGAGGTGTAGCACCTGGGTTAAGAGCCCCACAGAGAGTGCCCAGTATGGGACAGATAATTTCCTAAAACAGGAGCCGGGTACTGTTAATATATGGGGCAAGGATAACTGGCAGCAGAAACCGCAGATATCTGATGCAGCAATTTGGGCAACTCTCGCTTCGGGCTTCTTTCCTGAAAGTGAGAGATTAAAATGAGCCGGTCTAAGGGGCTGGGGATTTAGCTCAGCGGCAAAAGCGCCTGCCTGGCATGCGCAAGGTCGTGAGTTCGGTTCCCGGTACCGGAGAAAAACAAAAAAACAAAACAAAACAAAATGAGCCGGTCTTGAAGGACCCTCCGGTTTCTAACAGGACTACTCTAATTATTGGGAAGTTTTCAATTAGCAATAATCGCCACCTCAGATAAACCTCATTGGCTATGATACTGCCACTGCGCAAAGCTACTCTAATTATTAAATGAACAGCTCTTCTGCTGGAAGGGCATAGGAATTACCATTACTAGCTGTCTTACCTTTTCATTGTTTCCCCAAAGGCTTCTGCTCCCCCAATGTAGGTATTGAATAACGAATATTTTAAAAATTCTTTCAGTTTTTAAGAAAATTTTTTTTTACAGAAACTTAGAGATAAAATATATCTGCATTTGTATTTTTGAAATCAACTTTACTAAGCTATAATTTATCATAAAATAAATAAATAAATTTATTTATTTATTTATCTTTCTGAGACAGGGTCTCTCTATGCAGTTCAGGCTGGCCTTGAACTCACTTTGTAGCCTAGGCTGGTCTCGAACTCACAGTGATCCTCCTGCCTCAGCCTCCCAAGTGCTAGGATTACGGGAGTGTCACCATGCCTGGGCAATAAAATTTATCTTACATATACAGGTAAACAACTTGGTAAATGTATACACCCTAGGTAATCATCACTCCACTGAGTGCAGAGCCACTCCTTAGTATCTACAGGTGATTGGTTCCAGATCAACCTGGAACACAAAACCAAGAGTACTGAGTTCCTTATATGAAAAAGTGTAGCATTTGCATATAAATGACATATATTGTTTGCTATTCTTTAAATCACCTCTAGATTAATTATAATACCTAATACAATGCGTAATCTACATAAGTGGTTCTCAGACTATATTGTTTAGGGAATAATGAAAAGAGTCTGTACATGTTTGGGACAGGTGCAGTTTCTTTTCCCTGAGTATTTTTTTTTTTTTGTATCAGGAATCGAACTCAAACTCAGGACCTTGTGCTTGCCAGGCAAGCACTTGTGGAGCTGAGCTATCTCCCCGGCTCCCTGAGTATTTTTGACCCTTGCTCAAATCCGTGAATGTGGAGCTACAAGTATGAATGAATAACTATAGAAAACCTATCCCCAGAAGTTCTCTCTCCTCTCCTTGCAGTCATTTTCTCTTCTCCTACTTGTTTCCCTAGGTCACTTCTGATTTGATTTCTGTCTTGTAGAATAATTTTACGTGTTCTGGAATTTCATACACATGGGTCATCTGTACTGCAGGAGCGTGCTCTTATGTGGCTTCTTTTGTACAGGATAATGTCACAGGTTCATCCACACTTTTGGGCCAGGGGCTCATTTCTTCTTAATGCTAAGTAGAATTCCATTAGTTGAATTTACTACAATGCATTTATCCATTTGCCAACAGATGGGCATTTGGGTTGTTTCCAGGTTTTAGCTATTGTGAATAAATATGCTGTGAACGTTTATGTACAAGGCTTTTGGATATGTTTTCATTTTTTTTCTGGCATAAATATCTAGAGGAGAAATTGCTTGATCACATAGCAGGTACATGTTTAACTTTATAAGAAATGGCAAAAATGACTTTCCCAAGTAGTTGCTTTGATCTACTCATCACAGATAGCAATGTATGTGTATTAGGGTTCGCTAGAGGAACATATTTGATATACAAATATATGAATAGGTGACCACCACTCCAGTGGGTGCACAGCCACTCCTTAGTACCCACAGGTGACTGGTTCCAGATCAACCTGGAACACAAAACCAAGAGTGCTGAGTTCCTAATATGAAAAAGTGTAGCATTTGCATATAAACTGCATACATTCTTTGCTATACTTTAAATTACCTCTAGATTAATTATAATACCTAATACAATGTATATTCTATGTAAATGGTTCTCAAACTACATTGTTTAGGGAATAAGGAAAAGAATATATATATATATATATATATATATATATATATATATATAAAATTAATTTATGTAAAGGGTTTGCTAGAGTTACTAATAGCCGCCTGCCGAGTCAGGGATGGTAGAATACCAACAGGTCACCTGCATGATAGGTGGATTATCCAACAAAAGTCGATGATCTGGAGCTCAATGCAGAGTCCAGTGTGAGCCCATGTCAGAAAGCCAAAGGGTTTGCATTGGAAGGCTGAAGGAACTAGAGACAGATACCCAAAGGCAGTGGCGAACACTATAGCTCTTACAAAAAGGGAAAGAGCAGATTTCCTCGTTCTTTCCTTTTTTTATGCTGTCCAGGCTACAGACCTACTGGTTAGCCACCTGCACCTGGGGCGAGTCTTCATTCCTGAGTGTGTGGCCTACATGTCAGTCATCCAGCGACACTAATCTGCTGGGCTGTTCTCACTCAAATCAAGTTGATGTATCACAATTGACGATCACAGTGTGAGCTTCCAGTTGTTCGTATTGTTGCCCACATTTAGAAAAAACTTTGTGATTCTGTTGTGTATGAAGTAGTTTCTCATTGTGCTTTTCTCATATTTTCCTGAAGATTGATGGTATCGAGCATTTTTCATGTGCTTATCACCATCTCTAGATTCAGCATTATCTCTAGGTTAGCATCTTCCAAATATCAGTTAAAAATAATACGTTGCTTGGTATTAAAAATCCTTGTGTGTCCCTCCAGTTCTTTTTCCTATTCTCCCTGGAGGTAATCACTGTTCTGTAGTTGGTATGTATTTTTTGCGAGTGTGTTTTAAAGTTTTATTAGCATG